GAGATTTCTCTCCGGTTTAACAAAAAAATCAAGCGCTTGTGCAAGTTAGAAAAGGGGGTCTTGCGGGTAAGTGAAATCCACAACACGCCCACTCAGCCATGAAGCCTGAATTATGACCCTTGCAGGGTTTTCATTGATGCACGTCTGAAGCCATTTTTAAAGAGCTGCTAAAGTACAAGGCCTATACTCTTTTGAAAAAAAAGGAAGATTTTGCTGAGCAAGTGCATGAGCATGCTTAGAGAAGAAAATTGTTGCCTATGCTTAGCCCCATCAAGACCAGGGCTTAAAAGAAATAACGACGTTTAGCTTTTGTGAGATATTTTCAAAGAACCCTCCTTTTAACATACATACGGCACATCGAGCGTAATTTTTTTTTATTCATGGTTGTTCTGCCGGGTAAGACAAAGTTAAACAGTGGGAGCCCTGCATGGAAAACTTTGTCAGTAAGAACTTGTACATACCAGTTGGCAAACGACAAACGAGGTTAAGACAATTACATGTGCGCCACGGGGCAGGCTAAATGGGCGAGTGGTGGTTACTTCGTGACTGAGGAGAAGCCTCCCCACATTAACGCGGACAAAATCGTGCGGGCAGCGCGCGCTCACTCGCCAAACATCCCAGCGCTGGCCTGGTAAAGGTCGGCGGGATGTGCCGGCGTGTTTTACAGCGGGGGGAAAAATCAATACGAGTTCGTGTACTGTACTTCGGGAGCAAGTGATGCGTGATTGCCACCAGAGTGAACTTTCTTGGCTGTCATCTATATTCATCGACTGGACATAGGTAGAGTAAGAGGAATGGAAATCCTACAACGACTGCTTCCAAGAGACGTGCTCGCCTCAGAGAAGTGCTTGCCTTGACGCACTGTGCGACAGATTTGAAAATGAAATACATGCATGAAGAAGTCAGCGTGGGTCATTTGCTCAAGATGACAGATTTGGTTAATCTCTTACCGCCATGTACAACCCTTTGAACTCGTTGAGGGGGTTGCAGTTGAGATCGACCCAACCCAATATTCCGTTTAAAATACAAGTGTTGTGAAAATTAAAAATCCTTGATTTTAAGGATCTAACTTTTTGTCTACACTTTCACAGAAATCAGCGCGATTCAAGGATGCATACATTCACGAACGGCAAGAAATAGGTTCTACAGCTGTCACTGCATGGATGGAAACTTAAAGCGCAAGCCCATTTCACCAATTTCTAAAGGAACTGCACTGTGAACCAAATTTCCTCTCCGTAGCCCGGCATGGACTGACAAATATTGCTCAATGAATCATCGGCAACAAAATGTGTTTGGACGTTGAGTGGCAAAGCGACCCGTCCATTCACTGCTGTCCTTTGCCAGCTTTGAAGCGGAGACCCTCTGCAGCGCGTTTGAGCGATGGTGGGGTTCGTTAAATCAGACATGCGTGTCATGGTCGGTCAGCCACATATCCCCTTTGCAATTGATTGTATGGGATTATATAATGATCCTGGCGCCAAACAACCGTTTCAATGGCGGTATTTATTTTTCTTCGCTTGGGGGCGTTTCAAAATGAGAATATATACGAAGTTCATTGATCTTATGCTAGTCTGTGAATTTCGTTTTCTCTATTGAGAATTAACTTCTAGAAATGTTTACACTACTGCACTTAAAGGCATGGAAAAATGGTATGTTGAAAAAACACAAAAATAAAGTCAAAATGTCCATGCATCATGTGTGCTTGTTACATTAACTTGGTGGCCTATTGGTACTATCACAATAATGGACGTATAGTGTGGTTCCGATCCCTCCTTCACTTATTTTGAGGAATCCTTCACAAATTGGAGAAATTTTTTTTCTTTTTTTTTGAGCGGGGGTCCAGAATAATGTTACTTGTAGATTCGTAACATTTTTGTGTCAACCCTACGTTTCTTTTCCCCCCCCATGCACCCTGGAGAACACCTTTATTCAAAACTGCAAATGCAACGCACCGTGCATGTCACAAGAGCGACAGCTCGCCCTCTTTAAACAGAGTTCTACATCTATGTAATTATTTTCCTTCCCCTTTGCATTAGAATTATGGAGGCTGTGCAGCCAAGCGACAGTGCCATATTTGACACGGTTTCCCGACCAACAAACACGCCTTGCGGAAACAGTTCAGAGTTTGTTATTCTCATTGGGCTGAGAGCCTGTCACTCGGTCGGTCTGAAAACACCAAAAGGGGTGTTTTTAGACCGACAAAAGCTTTGTGTCGAGGTTAAGTTTGTCCGCGGTGGTTGACAGAGAAGAGATTGGTGAGACCAACGACATTTTTGGCGCAGCCGTGACCCCACCCCCCATACACACCCACACTTCCCAGCTACAGCTAAATTCGGCAGACATAGTATTTGATTGTTGTTAAGTAATAAGACGAAATTCCTTGTGAAATATTTTTTCCATAGGGAAGTTTAGTTGACCATGAAAACCCATTAAAAGTTATCAAGCTCATCACTGAAATGATTTCACAGTCCACTTGGGGATTACAATTATTCGACTTCTGCAATTGGCATTGTGCTTTCAAAGCGGTATAAAGAAGAAATAACCCTGATCCATATTGTTAATGGTGAATTTTGGGGGCAAAAAGCTCTCTTTAATCTCTAATACAACAGGGTTGTAGGGGTTGGCGCGCATACATCATCGGGTGAGTGAAAATTCCGCCATGGCACAATCGAACAGATCATATTTTGCAGGGAGTGGGAAAAGGGATATAAAAGCGAGCGCTCCTTCTTTGGCACGGCCACCGACGTGTTGATGGCATCTTGCCGTGCCCGTGGCATACTTCTCTTGATGAGCGTCAAGATCAATTACACCCAACGAATGTGCGGCCGCGATGCATCATTACTCGCTCCCTTCCCCATCGCCAGCATCTCTCACGGTACTTCTCTCCTGGCAGAAATGTCAATTAAAGAATTACAGAACCATCACAAGAATGCGGCGGTGTTTTCTTGTTCTACGGGACAGAATTCCCTTCGCTTCCCCTTACTCCTTTCTCATTTTGAACTCCTTAAACGGCTACTCACTCCGGTCCAACAACCAACTTTTCGTTCTGTTGAAGACAAATTTGTCCTACAGAGGTCTCTGCACTTTCATTTTCTCCTCTCTGTCTCCTTGCACCAAAGCTCTCTGCTACTGCCAGATGGCATAGGCCATTTTGATGAGAAGACAATAATAGCGAGGCAGAAAACTCGGTCATGCAGTGAGGTTGGCCGAGCGAGTGCAATGTCATGCTGGGTACAGAGGTGGTTCTCCATTGGCTTTCCCACTGTCCACAGTAATGCGCCGCCACAGTTGGCCCAGGTTGAGAAAGAAGTGCACAAGTCCAGTTATTTCCGAAGGTTCAAACTTTACTTTCCAGCAACCACATGTAGAGCGAGAGAGAGCGCTCTCTCTATTTGAAACAAGGGGTCCACGACGACGGAGGCTCTACCAATCGACTTTAATGATCTTAAATCGCCCGAATTGAATTGGATAATGCCCCCTCTCAGAACGAGGGTGGGCCCGGAAAAAGCACGCCGAACCTTACCCACACCAATGAATTACGACGCACGGTAAATATTACCCAGCTCCCTACATCTGCCATCCGTTATTTCACGTGTGCCTGGCGTTGGTTGTCCTTTACTGGTTATCCGTGACCGACTTTTGAGCTGTGGTGACGATGGAGCTGTGTCAGGCCGCTTGAACGGAGGCGACCTCCCGATAGGTAATTCAACCAAGAGCATCTCGACCCCCACGCTCCCGGAGGAATCTCTGCTAGGCCAGCAAATCCTTGGGCAATGGGCTGGGTACTCCCCTGACCATACGGACCCTACTGACATTGTGTCATCATCTTTTCAGTGGCGTATCCAGGGGGGGGGGCTTGCGTATATTCTTTTTACAAAGAATGGTCGAGTAGGAAAGAAAGTCTTCGGTATGTTCATTTATCAAATATTAGCATCAAATCCTTAAGAAAACAACACCAGCAAATAAAAGCAAGGATGTTGGGACCGTAAGGCTTTTTGATTGGTTTTTCTCCACAACATCATGTTGAATGAGCCCGAAGAAGACGCATTTGCCTTTGCCCCCCCACACACTTTTCCCCGGTCTTCATTTTTGAACAGCACTAGTGAAAAGTACATTCAGTTTATTGACAATCTGGCCTCGCTTTTTTTACCTTCATGGCTGAAGAACTCTGGTCCGATTTTCTAATAACAAATTTGTTCCGGAATCGTTCCGAGCGCTAAGCTGATTTATTTATGTATTTTGGCAAGAAGGTGGGCCGTGGGGTTAATAGGAGAACATTATAATTGTCTAGGTGGGGCTTATTGAAGGATCACGTTTCGCACATCAATCATGTCTTGGTGTGAGCGTTGTGAACGGCTTTGACATAAATGTCTTTTATGTTCTCTCCGGGACAAGTCACAGTGTTACAATGGTGCCCTGCAATGTGATACCAAGTTCACGCCGTGGGAGATATTACTTTAAAGACAGACTAACCATATAGCCTCAAATAAACTGAGCGCCTCAGCTCGGTTTTCCATTGAAGCAATCAATGACTGCTTCATCATTTATGAAAGGATCACCCATTCCGCGGAGCAGTTCGCTTTGGGTAAGTATCCTGGATGCAAAACCTACTTTGAACTTTATTCACCGTGAAGTCAAACGATATTTGGGAAAAATTCATCCAAATAAAATACGCCTACATGATTTTTTATGGAGCTTTCTTGGGCCTTCAGGGCTTTTTCTATCAAAATTTCCAACTTCTAAGAACGGCTTTCGACTGGTCAGTGTGGTATCGTAGGGTCAGTGAGTTGCACAGCTCAGAACTATGGACTCTTTGCAGCGCCCTGGGAAGGGCTAAACCAACGCCCAACGGCACATCATGTCAGGTCGCGAACTCGAAGCTACGGGGATTAAACTTGAGCCCTTTTATATGTGGGTCAAATCGGGCGTGCGATCGATCGTCCGTCCCACTGCTCCAGCCGCCCTTGATACAGAAGAGAACGCCAGGACATGGGCTTGAGTTCACTTCAATGGGCACAATGGAGGAATACTTTGAAGTGTTGTACGAGGTTCAGGGGCTGATGGTGCCGGGTGAGGGAGGGAGTCGTTGTCCGAATTGCCGTGATGACGGAGGTAGGTTGTCAACGCCGATTGACCGTAACTGTGTTAATTCGCGTCAAGCCCTCTTTTCCTGCTCTCAACATGCTCTGGGCTCAAAGTCAGTAACACGTCTGTCACAAGATAGTCTGTGTAACAACTGCAAGCCCCATCATTGTCAGGGCTGTAGGAGGAGTCGTTATCATACGCATACATGCACACGACATTCCAAAACTGTGGACTGGCCCTTTAATACAAATTGTAACACTAACAATCACTTGGTCCGAAGCAGGTGAATTACACAGAATTAAGCTCCAACGGTAGTCATAAATCCTGACATGTCAAAAAAAAACCAAAATAATGTACAGTACAGTGTACGATTTCAATTCAATGTTAAACCACATTGTGTACCACTCTCCGTGGGTTTATTGACCCATACTGAGGTATGCAATGCGTTTGACTCAACAGTTTCAGACGTCATCGTGGTACTTGAGATCCCATCTTCCAAATCATTCAGAAATTATTCATCATTCAATACAAGTAAATGTTGCTAAATTGAAGTTGACACGACACGATCTTTGAAGGATGCTCTCATTAAATTTGACATATTTGACACACGTGGTCAAAAACGGCCAATTTTTTTTAAGGTCGCTTGGTCAGATTTTCCTGTCCAGAGGCGCATAGCCCCTCCACTCACCGAAGCCCAACAGTACCCAGCTATCCATAAAGCAATCTAAACCCAACAATGGAAAAACGAAAACGGGATCTTTTATAATACGAATCGACAGAAAGAGCTTTCTGAATGGACCTTTTAGACAGGGCATTTGGAGCCTTAAAGTTATAGTACAACTTCGCATGGAAATGCAATGTATCGCAACATTGAGTTAATTACATTTCTTTTTGTTTGGAGGGAATTCACAATGAACAAAACTTTGCCCTGGATAATCCATAAATTTATATATATACAGGTTAACTCGATTGATTAATTTGAAATTATCAGTACCGTATGTTGCTTTAACTACTTGCGTTTGGACAAGTCTTTCCCTGTGAACACGATTTAATAGCATTTTCCGTATTGAGTTACAAAGCTTATCCGAACCAAACACAAGCGTGGTGTTAAGTTGCAAAGTATACATGATGGATTTGCACATTATCGGTATATAGCTCTATACATGTATATAGTTCTATCTGCTGCCCTCTTCAGATTTTTCTTGGAATGTGAAACAACATCAGTTTCGCGCACAGTTCGCACGCGCAGTCACTGAAACTCTAAAGAACACAGTCCCGGTAACTAACTACCTATCGGTCTGCTCTTGACAACAAAAAAATGAGATCACTATCATGTATACAATGGCTGAATCATTATATTGAATTGGTTGTATTATGCAGTTGGTTTTGGCATAGAAGATTCCTCCACAATCAGTGGTTGGTTTCCTGTATTATTTACAGACGTACTGTACTTAATTAGTCTAAGCTATTCAAGTAGTTTTTGCACAATTGAATCTGCGAGAACGCTATATAGGCAAACACTGAACATTTTGATCAGTGTAGAGCCCCATTTTTCACTGCATGAACAGGTACGTTGCAGTCATGTGCTTTTCTGCTATTTACTGAAAAATGCGAGAAGTTGAACAAGACGTGCAAAAAAGAATTGCCCAGCGAAACAACAACTGTTTACAGTACACTCACCGAAGGTCACAAAAGATGTAGCCCAACACCTGTTCGGCTTTCAATTCAGGTCTACTTCTCCGCGTGAGCAATTCTTAGTGTTTAAGAAGAAAGGGTGAAAACGTCTCAGTAAAAATATCGGGCAATCCGAAAGACGAAGAACTTATCTGGAAATGATCCGCGCTACCTCCTTCAGTCATGGGCTCCAAGCGCCGACTGTCACTGATGTACGGGCCCACCGCAGTACTTATGCTTATACCGCTCACTGAATACGCCGATCAATCACTGAGTCTCTACGATGGACCACTGACCTCCGAGTTCAGTGGCAAGTAAAGGTCACGTGGTGACCTCGACGCCTACCGTTGACAGCCGAACAGTGCAGTACAGCAGCACGCGGCATTCAGAGCTGTGCACTCACTGCGCACACCCACGTGCCCGAGCCGCCTTGATTTGATTGCATAGAGCCGTACGGAACAACAGCACAACAGCCAGGCAGGACCCATGAGTCGTTAAGGTCGATGACCGTGAACACAGCAACATGAAAAAATGAGCGATAAGCATTTCCGCGTTTTCCCCGCGATGCCCTTGTCCCTAATGTCCATCGTTCATTTATCATTAATAACGACCCCATTAAAGAAATAAAGGTTTTCACCAGAGTCGTTGTTGGCACGACGTGGATTGTTTCATTTGGCGACAGCGACTTCAAAACATGACGCTATTCATGTGTGCAAACACTTGACAAAGAGGTCTATCCTTTGCTAGTCTCAACTTTAGTTCTTAAGCTTTCAACATTTCACGAAATGAAACCCGGCCTTCAAAATAGGACACAAACTTTCGGACCGTTCAGTGTCATCCAACCTTTATTGTAGAATTCTGCCCATGTTCTACTATTTACGTCATCAGCCTTGACCATGATCACAATGATTATTCTTTTGCCTTCATAGAAACAGTGTAAGCATATTGATGCATACTCCCACGTCCATCTCGGAACTTTGTAAACCCTCTAATAAGACTGTTATCCCATCAACTTGACAGAGGCTAACGCACATTACTTCCAGGCACAAGACGAAAACAGCAAGAGAAGTGTCACCAATGTGTTTTTTGGGATACTCAAGTTCTCATAGTATCTTCACGTTCCCAAGAGCTACAGTACCCAGTGGCATATCGAAGTCTTTTCCCAGAAAGTACATGTCGTGTCCAAATATTTTCATCCATATGTGTAAAGGAATCCTTCCCCCAAAGGTCGTTGTAGCGTTTCTAAACTGCTGGTGCGTTCAACTTGATTCGATTCAGAGGTCACAAAAGGAAACATATCTCCACGGAGCCAAGGGGAACAGCTCCCCCACCCCACCTTCACACTTGCTGGATACGTACGCCCCTGGACCTACCTCAATACAAGACTCAAGGCTTCAACAAGCCGAGTAAAATGTAGTCGGATTCATCCTTAGAAGGCCGCGGAATTGTCAGTATGTCAGCTCGTCATGGCCTCTAAATTCGAATTGTTTACACTGACACAGCGGGTTGAGTTCTTGCTCAGTCTGTGCCTTTATGGTGAGGTATAATTAGACATAATTTCCACAGCTTATGAAATCAATCTGGGGAATACCACGAGAAGCATTGCTAATCCTGTTAGCCATATCCGTTTGTCATATGGCTCTGGATGTTTACTATAAATGTCTTCCCCGTCATTTTCAAGCCCCATCAAGATTTTCTTTTACTTTGGACGAGCACCGACCCCCCAGATTTGTCAGGTCCGTTTTGAATGCCGCGCTTAAGGGGTGCCGGTTCGTGACAGGAAGCCAGGAAAGTACGCCATCTTTCGGGAAGGGTCCTCCTCACTAACTCTTCATGGACAAAAAGCCAGATCTTAGTCAACAACCGACTCCCACAGCAGTTTCAAGAGATTTGCCATGGAACTCAGGAGTGGCCACGTTTCACGGTATCAAGCAATTCTGATGAAATGAAGTATTTAAGATGGCCCTTCTCTACATTATTTCTTTATCTTTGTTTGAAAAGACTTGCTTGGGATCACTGACCGACAGAGACTTGCATGGCCATTGCACCTTTTCTATTAAAGGGTGGCTCAGTTGTCTTTTTTGTTGATTTCTCGAACCTCGCGGCCGGCGCGCGATCATGTTGCCCTGAAAAGCACGCGTATTTATGCACCCAATGTAAATTGTTCCGATAGGTGTGTCATGTGCATCCCTGCCCTGAGGCTAGACGAAATAAGGATTCGGCTTGACACATGTCTTAATCGTATTTATTTTCCGTGATGTCATGGCATGTTGGGGCAGGATGGCAGATGAGACATTGATTCCCCCGATTCATTCATCCATCATGACTCAATTGTGTTCCAATCTCTGCGGAGGTATAAGTACTCGCGATGTGCATAATCATAATCTTAACCAGATGGAAACTGTGTCAGTAAAGGTGTCTCCCAAACCGGCTCTGACCTAGCTTGTCAGGCCTAGTAAACGACTTTTTGATGTGACTAAGCCTGTTTGGGAGTTGTAATCTGGAGCAGTAGTTGTATATTACCTGCTTGTTTTGTTTCGCTTTGCTTTGTTTCACAGTGTTAAGCACATCAACACGGAGAAAAATACGAAGGATCCGGTGTCTTACCTAGTACGGAACAACTAGTGCGAACCGGGATACTAACCACGCCTGTAACAGCGGAACCTGCAGTGCTGTTCCACCGTCGTTTCCATGTGATGAGCCTAACTTCTGAACCTGTGTTTTGACTGTTTCACGCGTGATACATGATTGGCGTCCTTCCCCAACGAGCAGCGAGTTTTGAAAACAGTGTACAGTAGGCCCGCTCCAAAGTCCTACGGTGATTACTCGGTTCAACTGTGTTGAGCTCCCGCGTCACGGAGGGACGTTGAATGAGAGCGGCTGTCAAGACCAATTGTCGTGTCGACCCAATTTTTCCCGTGACTGTAGTTCCGTGGGGCAATGATCCTTATCCGCTTGAAATTCATCAAAAGTGTTTATACCTGTCGGTCGATGAACGATAGTACGAGGGAGCGATGCCTTCCAGTAAAGAAGGGTTCAGTAATGACAGACCTATAGATCAGGATCCTTTAGTTACGTTTTACATGTACAAGTTTCACATTTTATTTTTACACTGCGATACAAGCTTTCTAGAACTTTGAGGTAGAGGGTAAACACGTAAATTATGCAATTGTTGGGCACGATCGGTCGATCTTTCCTCCATGAACCCCACTATCTCGACGGTGCTATTGGCCGATCATGTAGGAAATTTCAGATTTGATTTCCTGTGTTCGAGACAGTACTCCACAACCGTGTATTAGAAAGAAAAGGTGATCCGCTGATGAAAGCTCGCCATAAGACCGGTCAGTTGCCCAAAGATCAAGACTTAGTGATTGCAAAGATCTCGATCGCACCCATCTCCAATACGGTAGTCATTTTTGCATCATCTTCCCGTGGGTGGACTTGCTTGGACCATTGAGCTATTAAACACATATAAGCTCCATGCTTGGACTCAGCAATTTCGACTCATCTCGCTGATGAAAATCGAGTCAGACTTGTCTGACTCAAGCTTTTTATGGACTCGGCTTAGCGCCAACTAGATTGACTAAACTCAAAAACAACACTCTGCCGCACAGCATTGCTAACGTTGATTTCATTTTACACTGATTTTGAAAAAGCATAGCCGGTCAACCACTTTTAACTTCCGTCAGTTTTAAGTCAAAAGCGGCATCATGCATGTTTCAACTCCACGCTGAGCTTTTGCTCTGTTCGATGTCGATGAATAGCCGTCGACTTATGTTTCCCACAACGACTTTTCTTGTCGGTGAACCTACAGTACAAAAACCTTGCTTCAATTTTCTCCGTGATTTGATCCTGTCAAGTTTGTCTTCCTTGCATTTATCAAATCGTAGCGCCTGTCCGTCATCAGCAGCCTAGAAGGTAAACCACGTGCCATCCCTGGCGCAATTTGTTAACACTCTTGCCAGGCGGCGTGTGAAGATTAATCACGGACTTATGACTTGTTGGTCCCCCTCCGGAAGGTTGATCGACACCGTGTCCTAGATAAGGAGAAGTGTGCCCAACATCGATGGCCGCATTCAACTTCTCAAAATGGCAACAGCTTCAAAAACTACTTCAGCGAAACGTCTTGGTGGAGTTTGTCAACCTTACCCACTGTAGTCCTTCCTACATGCCTCTGTTGGCGTTACTTACCATAATTTGAGCCCAGGAAACGGTTCACCGCAGCTGGGCAGCCTAATTCCGCTCAGTGCATCGTTTTGGTGACAGTTATAGCTCATCTCTCATAGCTAATCACTCATTGCAATGGTTAAAACTGATGAGTTCAGGTTGGCAAAATCATACAACAAAAGACTCATTGCGACGTTGCCGCATTCTCGGACAATGCCCTGGTATACTGCGGTATGACTACGGTTCGATCTGACCATTTTCTTGTTTTAGTTTTTGCAATGATCTTTGGTCATTTAGCTTCGAGCGTGATGACAGAAAAGAATGTCACCCGTCGAGCTACATTGTATGGTGTTCTGTATCTGCCATTTCGCATTTCTCATCTCCCCAGTTTATCCTGCCATTCCCGCGTATTGAGTGAATAAGATTGGTCAAAATTAGTTTCCTCATATCCTCACATCCATTGTCTCGGATCAAAATCTATATGTCGATGACTGATGTTCTGAAGAGCATGTCGTGATATTGGGTCGGTGTGGGTACCAGCATTTTTCCTTCCTAATGTGACCGTTGTTCCACTACAGTCGAGTATGGACTGTCGTATCCAGTGATGTCCTATCTAATGACAGGTCTTTCACTGAGTCTTGCCAACTCTAGGTTAAGGCTGCGTCAGTTCGAATACATGAAAATTGGAATATTTGACCTGAAAAATGTACTTTTCGAACTTTCGGTTGAACGGCAAATCTTCGGTCAGCCAAGTGTCAGAAGAACTTCAAGTTGAAGAAGCCATTTTTAAACGAAATAAAATCATCTTGGGATTACTTACGAACCGAGAGAGGGCTTTTCTTATTTCATTTGTTTGCATCTATGAATCTCACATGATATTCTATCATCGATAATCGATCCAATATTGGAATTGCACATTTGTCACCTGAGATATCGATCAATGATACACTGCATATAGAGTGTCCACGGAGATTCTATGATGACTGTTTCAGTGCCAGTCGACAGCTAACGAACATGACGTTGTAACTCTATACTGTACCTGCATGGTTAATGGTCTGAAATCGTACAAAAGGCCCAGACACGATTATCTGTATACGTGCAGTGGTCGAACCGCAGTGTCCATGCACTGGCAAAGGGCTGCCCCAAAGCTGTCGATGTACTTCTGGCATTTGACCTCAACGATCTCGTTGAGATTAAGGTACGATATGAATGGGGAAATGATAGGCACCGACGCCTGAGGTCATACATTACACCGTATATGGTTTACATTTTTCATCTATATACTAAGTTATGCCACGTGTAACAGGCCCCATTTGTGCAGAAGGTGAAGTGTCGGGTCGATGATCATGATACCTGTCCCTCTCCTCCTTGGAACCGTTGAAGTTGTGAAAGTTGATAGCGTGTTATCGCAGAAGTGCATGACGTCACCCCCGTCTTTTGCTCCATAGTCACAGCCACTGGTCGATTACTGTTCCCATAAAAGCAGCTACAATTTAGAGCTTTTTTTCTACTGAGGAACATCTTGTACCAAGACTGCCATTGACCTCTTGTAGGTGCACCTGCCAAGCGATCATATCTCCCCTTTCCCCGTTGCGATGGATGATAACCGGCTTGGTGAGTTGAGCCACGTTGTTTTTGTCACGGGATTGCTTTATTTCCCCGGCAATCTATCATTGAACAAGCACCAACCCTGGGATGTACGGGGACTTTCGTGGCGTCTTCAGGGGGAACGTCTGAGCTAGTCATGGGTGTGAATGACCTCAGGGTAGGAAGCCCCTATAACTGAGGGGATTAGCAGGACAAGCGGCTGGGTGTTTGGCAAGAAGTGTAAGAACCTAGGATAAGATGGCTGATTTGATCATGGTGGAAGGCTTTGTTAGACTCTTTTGGAAAAAGTAATATTGCTGAAAGTAAAAGTACGTTGAGAAAGTGTCCTGCAGTCCAATATTTTTGTTGGACACTCTTATCAAATTTTTGTTTCAATCTCCCACCATTGGAGAGAAAATTTATGTCTTTTGAGGACGGTTTGTAATTGTACGTGAGAGCAGTTCTGAGTTGACACGATGTAATGCTTCGAGGAATGTTGAACAGGACCCTGGACTAGCTGAATGAAATAGACACTCAGTATGTGCCGCTGTAATTTCCTGTGGGCCTAACCACTGTTTTCTCAGACACAACATGCAAAGGTCGTTATGGAACAGACATTTTGCACAGCTGTAGGTAGGTTCAGTGGTTAATCGTAGTGGATTAGACACCTTCAGACAAGACCTTCGCCTTCGAGTTGCAACCAACCATCTGGCGTCTGCCTGTGCCAGAAATGGTGCAGAGTCAGCTGACAGCTCAGTTAGTCTAGTTGCCAGACCCAGTTGGAGAATATTCTGTCCGGTAGTCGTCAATATGATTACATTACCGATTGGGGCAGAATTCTGCCCATTTCTAAATGTTTCCGAGATTGTCTGGAATTTTCCGATAGGATTTTCGTTGAGAACTGTAAGATACTGTCTTTAATTCAGTGTTGCTTTACTCGAACTCCAGTACTTTTTCTGTACTCGTATTCGTATAATTCTCAAAAGGTTTCTACGTATTCGTAATCGTGGAAAAGTTCATGACTACAACATTGGTTTTAATATTCCTATAGGGTGCACCGCAGCAAATCAGTTCCCATAGTCAGCAGTGATAAATCCCCATACTTCACAAATATTTAAAAAATACTCACAACTCTCACAGGTGTTCAGGCTGCACAGAAAAACGATGTTCGTCGTGTCCTCTTTCATTTTCCGTTCAATTTTCAGTGGGTTGACCAATGAGATTTCGAGAAATTATCACCCAAAGCAGACCACCCCTGAAAAATAAAGGAAATTTCACTGCCGGGAAAAGTAGCCATTTTGAAAATGCATCCCTCTGCAAAATGGCTAAAATAGTGTCACTTTCGGACCTGATTGCATCCAAATTGGTCAGAACCGGGAGCCAAGAGTCTGGGCCAGAGATTCAGTGCCATATTTCTTCAATCCCACGTTCTATGGCTCTCAGGACCCTCTAACATAGAATATTTTAAGTGTATAACTTTTATTAATGAGCTCGGCGGACATATTTCTGGCCTATTTACGTGGTGCACTTGAATCAATGTATGGCACGCATAAATCAACATTTTCACTGTGACGCAAAAACAATGTAAGGAACACTTGCGTTGTACATGTACATCTAAAATAAACAACGCGTCATATTTTGACGGTGATAGTCTCCTGTCCAAACCTATATGAGGTATCAGGGATCGTTGGGGCAGTAAACCAGTCTATCGATTAGTCAACATTCTCCTTGCCTTGCACACTGCAGATGCTTATGCGCGATCAGCTCCAGTGAACGTGTACAGTCGCACTAAAGGACCCACGGGGCAAAGCAGGGTCGGGCAAAACAAGAAAAAGGAGAGAGGAAGGGGAAGGGTAGGCGGCACTCTAACCCCCCCACCCCCACCCCCACCCCCGCCTGGGGCCTGAGCTGCTACCATTTGTGTCAGCCTGCATCCCGAATTTATCGAGTCATATGTAAGAACCACACGATGAGGTAGAAAGAGATCTGAACTTGTATTTTTACTTAGCCTCTCTCTCTTTTTTTCTCAAGGTGAATCACCTCACCGGATAGAAGATATGAGTTTGTGTTATTAGGCCAACGAGACAAGGCAATTCTGCTGGTTATCGACTGGACAGTTTGGCTGTCTTTGCAGACATACGCAAACATACTTGGCTAGGGTGCGATGGCCCCCCATCCCGGCTCTGCGTAAAAGACCTCTGTCCTCGTAGGAATGTGGACAGGTTCGGTGGGCTCCTGTACTTGGAAAGCTATGTAATTAGTGGCCAGACGGTCCTTGAGCGTGAGTGCATCGATAAAACTTTAGACAAACGCAGTTCACTTAAAGACTGGCCATTTTGTACCGAAACTCCAGATAAGCGGTCAATAAACGTCTCGCTGTCAGACCTAAATCGATGTTGACTTTCAACGACACTTACGATTGCTGACTTGCACGAGTGGATGTGGCATCATGGTTTATTATCAACCATCCACCTCCTGCAGTGACGGATGAGAATTTCTTTTCAAGTGAATTCATTGCAAGCTAAAATCACACATTTTCATCTTTTACTGGCCTCCCTTATCAAAGGTTGCCCTGGTCTCAACCTTCAGTATTGGGTTTTTAAAAGTAAGTTCGGTCACCATAAGCGTTTTTAATGTTTTAAATGGACAAACGTGTGCAATTCGGACCCGACCTCAACCCCAAATTTCATCATGACGGGTTTTGACTACAGAACTAGTTATTCATGCTGTAGTGTTGTGTTCTTTGAATGCGCTGTAGGGTCAAAGGTAAAAATTATTGTGTTGGTATTACCCTTCAAATATCAAATATTTAATTTTTCACAATGACGGTGTGAACCCAGTACTTTGCCAGAGCTCAGTACATTGCTAAGCCATCGCCAAAAAAGGTTTGAAATGCCCCTTAAAACCGTTGCTATTAAGGCGCTTCAACCGTTTATCGGCGATGACATTTTTTACGTGGGAGAGAAACCCCTGGTTATCATAATCGCACTCGCATACTGTGGCTATTTATAAACGAGTTTGAGACTGGACGATTGTGCAGAAGATGTTGATTTTGAGTGACAGTGACCTGTTGCGATAGGAGTTGAATGTCATTCTCCTGTGCCATCGGAGAACGGTTGATGAACTATTTTTCTTCTCTTCCCCCCCCCCCCCGTTTTGGCTATACACGTTATCGCGGCGCGGCCTGCGACAGAAGCATGCATCATCAAGTCTCAGTTTAGTTTGGTTCATCAAAACTTGGCTTCCCGTGTGAAAACCAACCCTATTATAATAACGGTGATATTCACGGGTATTGTCTAAAGGAAAAAATTGGTATGTGTATGTACATTATCGTTAACCACACCCGCGTTGTTCCGGTTTGTGGAAGCTCAATGATGTGCGCTACTAAAATATCGACGTTTGTGTCTTCGCGGTAACAACACAGCAACGGGCCTTGACTTTTTATGCTCATGGGTCTGTACCGCTTGATACTCAATTGTAAAGATCCCTCACCTCCACGTTTATTTTGCTCGCCTTGCTGCAAGTCTGCGCATAAAATTATTTCCGACTGAAATAATAGTTTCTCATTTCTGCAACTCTGCCATCGTGCAAGGTGCAAAGGTGGGAAGAGGTTATTTTCTGAGCAAATATTATTCTCTACGGTAGCCACGAGTGGCTCACCTCAAGGAACCAAAAAAAAGTGTCACTCCTGACGAATAGCAAAAATTCATTCCAAACACCACTTATTTTTCAGCCCGCAACACGACCAAACAAACAGTCTACAGCCGCAAAGTTGCCGTGGCTCATGGTTCTCGAACAGGCGGTGAAAAGAAAAACCAGGGCAAAAATTCCCATACATTTACCCCATTTGATGTTTGCCCAACGGGGGTGTTTGGTCGAGCACCAAGTGCTCTTTTGTTCGCGTTTGCGGTGGGCTGCCAGGAGGTTGGCTAATCGTTCGCAAATAGGTCTTGCCAGTGTTGCCATAAAAAAAATTAAACAAAAATCCCCGAATGTCGTATGAGATAGCGATCACCCACCCGTTTTCCCGCGGGCATTTCGTGATGTGGGTTTTCCATGGACTTTTGAACTCAGGAGAGAATTTCAAGAAAGAGAGAGACGGGGGGAGTGTGGTCTTGGGACGATTAAAATCATTTATGTCGATTGAAAACATTGAAATGATTGTTGGCAGTCTATTCCATATATAGCAATCAAAATTGAACTTTTTCATACTGTCAGTTCACCGTGACTGT